TGATCGCTTCGCTGCTTCCTGTTTGACTGTCTAGGACGTGAAAGTAAATGCATTGCTATAAAAGAAGAGAACATGTTTGTCCACAGAGTTGCAGCAATTTTTCAGTTAAGTCCTTCTAGCAGCAGAACTTCATACAAATCAGAGAGATTAAAATATAATTAAAATCGGCACCGAGACTGTTTTTTGAATGGTGTTAGCTGAAATAAACTTCAAATTAAATATTGGAAATAGAGGTCAAAATATTTAGTTTGTTTGTTTGAGACTAAGCAGAATAATACAATAACAACCTGTTTTTCCATTTTATAGTTTTTCATTCCTAATTAGAATGAATCATGCACTGACCCAAATACACTATGATGTTTTTTGTTTCATTCACACGTATTTGAGTCTTTCTGAATTATTTGTCTGTCTACATCTCCAAAGCTCAAACTGCTCTGTTCTACCTTGTGATGTCACGTTGTAGTAATGACCAAATTAACAGCTACCTTTCACCTTTCATTCAGTGGAGATTGTCAATTCGAGGGCTAAAATTATCCAAGTGATTCTAGTGGAGCTCTTTCTGTATTATCACTTGATATCACAAGGTTGTACAGAGTTTGAGATCAGAAAACAGAGAATATGGGCCCTTTGATTACATCGTTTTCTTTGTGTTGATATTCTGTGTTTAATTATTTTTATTTTGTTCTGTCTTTGTGGCGGCATTTCCGATTCAGCTCAAATCCCATTCATTACAATAGAGAATTTGAAGAAAGTTTATCCTAATGGAAAGCTACTACATTAATAATAAGAAATTACATTGAACAATATGAAGGCAGTTGATGCATGAGAACTGATGTACTTACTTGAACTAGCTAATGTTGTAATGTAATAGTGTTTTAACTTAAATACAATATTGTGACTGGCAACATCTCATCTTCCCCTATTCAAAAATAAGTGGTTGTCATGGATACTTTTCTGCTTTTTCCTGTTAGAACAAATACGAGTTAATAAGAGAACAATGTATGGGTTTATTTCAGGACACTCTTAAGTTCATTTGCAGTAAAATGTGTTATTGTTGTCATGAACTTTTAAAAACACTTTATGAATAATACTGGTTTGACCTTTAGAACTCCCTCCGTGACCTGACCCTTCCTAAAAGCCTTTACTCCACAACTCTCTCACTCTCCTTCTACTTGTAACTGAAATAGAAATGTTTGCAATTATTAATTATTATTTTGAAAGATAAATTATCAGATAAATAAATATATTGTGGATGTCACAAAAAGAAGGGACTTTTCCGGTTCTGTTTGTATGTTCTTTTAGAGTATCTGTTCATTCTTATCTTTTGCAATGATTTATAGATTACAAAAGCTACAGTAATGATATTTTTGCAGCCTATAGCAGAATTTAGAGCTATTTTTCTGGTATGTTCAACAGTACAGCTTTAAAGATGCACTGTGCAATTTCTTGGGTGAGATTTCAAACATCTGGTTGTTTCAGTTAAGATGCTATTGCTTTGACTGGAATGTTCCACGGTATGGCATTAAACCAATCTTTCTTAAATTAAATTCCAGGTGTTTTTATTGCAAAATGTATCTTGAAAGCATACAATATGACAGTGGGGTCCCTGTCACGGTAATTTTAAATGACTTTCAATAAAGTGAGACATTGTTTGTGAACGTTGTGGGTCAGGGGCTTGGTGGTAGGTTGTGTGAGGTCAATAACACCACGTTGGAGTCAATCAGCCACTCTGTAGAGCACAGGCAGGGGGTAATTAGCAAGTCTTGAATACCAAAAATGGATAAATGTGGAGTTACAAGAGTAAACCTTACCAATAGCGGTGGGGGGCTTGGAGTGGCTGCGGCAGCGTCTTCTGGGTGTTGTCTGCCAAAAGCTCTCTGACGGATCTCACCCGGAGTTTGCAGGGGTGCTTGGCTTACAAAAATGTGTATGTTTATATTCTGAGAAAAATGGCAGAGATTTGTATAGTTGGATGTTCATGTTTTTATTGATTGAAGTATATTAGATGTGAATTTATTCTAAGGTATGGATTATGTCTCATTGTAAAAGGGGTAGGACTAATTGGTCACCTGAATTGTTGGTAGTGGCCAGTTAATGGGAGACTCTGGGCCCTTTTAAAAGTAGGACTAAGTTTGTTGTTTGCTCCGTTTTGTTGGAATAAAGGTGCCATGTAAATAAACAATCACTGGCTGTGGTTCTTACACTGATGCCTTCAAGACGGCTCGGCCATCCACATACATATTTATATGACTGTAACTTGGCCTGATGGCGTCACCTGCTTGTGTTCATGGAAATAAATACGTTTAATGTCATACAGCAGAACAATCCAAGTAACAACATATCCATGGAAATAAGCACATATGGTGGACCCTCAACCAAAAATGTAACATAATACCCCTTTACATAACGCCTGCCATAAACATCATTGGTAAAGCAGTCAGATCCACTGGCTTCTGGATGGATGGGACTGTTGTTGTGTCCTTGAGCAAGACACTTAACCTCACCACCACTGTCTGCATATACTGGTGTATAAATGTGTGTGTGAATGTGTGAGTGGTTCCTTGACCTAAAGCGTGCGTTAAAGAATACGTTGAAAGGTTGAAAAACAGTACCATTTTACCATTTAAAAGTTATCCACGTACAGACACTAATCACAAAATAAATCAGTTTCCCCATGAATCCGGTGCAGGTGTGTTTTAGACAAATGTGAAGACAAAGGCTGTTGAACCAGAGCCTCAGGTCACAGTTCCTCAGGCTCTCTCAGGCTTTCACAGATCAGCTGGTCTCCACAGAACAAACAGTCTCCAACAATCAACAATATCTGCACTGCCCTTCCTCCTCTCCATGTGCGCTTTGTTGGTCAGTTTATAGATGTGGGAGATATACATAAAAATATATAATATCAAAGTGTTGTTTTTCTTTTTTTTTATGATCAGTTTTTTTTTCTTCTTCTTTCGTTTCATACATGGAGGTGAAATAAGGGACGGTGGCGTAGTGGGGATTTTTAAGTGCGTGTACACGATTTATGACGTCATTGATGTCCCCGAAGCAAACATAAAGGTGCCAGCCCAGTAAAAATCTTTAATATTTGATGTTTTGTTTTGTTTTTAACTCAAAATGATGCAGAATCATGTCATTAAAATAAACCTCATTCAAAATCACCTACATAACTTAAATCTTAGACTACAACACATGAACCAGGACTAAAACAGAAATAAAACAGGATTAAACCAGAAGTGAACCAAGACTAAACCGGGACTATACCAGGACTATACCAGGACTAAACCAAGACTAAACCAGGATTAAACCAGGATTATACCAGGACTATACCCAAGACTTAACCAGGACTATATACCAGGACTACACCAGGATTTAACCAAGACTACACCAGGACTACAGCAGGACTTCACTAGGACTTAACCAGAACTTAACCAGGACTTAACCAGGACTAATCTTGGATTTGAGAGCAAGAGAGAGAACCCCAAGCCCATGGAGCAGGGTGTCCGCAAAGCGCGATCGGGCATCGGATGTGCTTTAGCCCAGTGAGGCATGGAGCTCTGTGGTGGTCCTTTCTCCTGCGGTCACCCAACAGTCTACACGAGCGCACCTCCGGACCCGTCCTGACACTCAGTCCTGGTTCAGTTCTGGTTTAGTCCTGCTTTAGTCCTGGTTTAGACCTGATTTGGTCTTGGTTCAGTTCAGTCCTGGTCCCTTCATGTCTCAAGTCACTATAGGACAGTAGTGCATCATGAGCCTATGCAGATTGTTTTCATAATTGCAAATAGCTCCGGTTTGACATTTAAGTTGTAGCTTTTTTATATTTGTTATTTTTTTACACTACACCCCTGACAAGGAGTAAAGAAAAAATAATAGCAAATCAAAAAGGAAGAGGGAAGGAAACAGCAGCAAAACAGTAGATCGTAACATAGCCAAATAAATAAAATATTGTAGAGGTAACACATAGAGACCATAACAAAAGTAAAGCTTCTTGTGTACCCCAATAATCTCCAATCACGTCCCTTCCACCCTCCCAGGTTTTTTGTTTTACTACTGTTATCCGTTATTGATGGTAGCAGCTCTTTCACATTTTGAGCTCATAACATTTCAAGTACTTGGTGACATCACACAAGACTGCACTCTCTCCTGTAGTTTAGGTGTTTTGTCCCGCTTTAATGCTCCAAATGTTGTGATGTCATGTGTATAATCTCTATTGACTGAATTTCTTTCACCGTTGTGGATGACATGTTAGAAACTTGCTAATACTGACTGGAACCCACTGAGTTGACTGGACATTGATTCACTGTCTTCACTGATGAAACAGAGTGACCTAGTTTGTGCATAATCAGAAACCGTGCCGTGTTTGTGTTTATTATAATTAGAAAAAGAGCCGCGATATGGATTTTCTGTATCTACAATTATGAACCAAAGTCAACAACACAACCTTTAAAGTGGGACTAAACACCTCCGCTCCTCCCACAAACACATTTCAAATAGAGCTGCTAACTTGGGAAATGCGTGGAGGAAGAAGAAGAAGGTGAGAGTGAGGGAGGAGGAGGAGGGGCGGGGTTTGGAGTTATAAGGAACAGTGTGATTGGTCTAGCAGGTATCCACGCTTCAAACTCCGCCCCTGCAGCCAAGTGTTTGTGATCAGAAACAGCTGTCTGTAGCCAGGGCACTCTTTTCACCAGAAAGCTTGAAATGTAACTAGTTTGCGCTAAAAATTCCAGAGTTTAGTACAATGTGAGGGTACACAATATATCTGATTAAATGCATTTTAAGGAGGTGCAGTTATTAAATCGCAAGGACTGTATTTATTTTAAAAAACTACTACTACTGCTACTTTTTAGATCTCTATCATTTTCTGAAATTCACAGGAGGTGACAGAATGTAGAATGCAATATTTATGCTTTTTTTTTTTTTTTTTACCTAAAATCGTTCATACCTTAGTACAATGTAAGCTTCTTTTATTGAAACTTTTCCTTCTCTGTTCCTCTGTGCAGGAAACAGGAGCTGCTGAACATCTCCACTGTCCAGCTGGGAGAATGTCCGCCTTCTCCGCCCCGCACCGCTCCCCCCAGCATGAAGGTAAGACCGTAGCATTTATACAGAGCCCCCCACTATAGAACAGACCCACACAATGCTATCACTCCAAAGAACTAACAAAGCATACAGGTCTCCAGGTCTGTTTTTTTTTTTTTTTTTTTTTTTTTTTTTTTTGAGTCACTGGAAGCATTATATTGTGCAAGGACAATGGAGATGGACATTTTCATCACTTAATGGAGTATGTTTTTCAGAACTACAGTTTTCGATATCTTTGTGTTGCTTTAGTAAGCTTAAAGGAGCCTGGAATATTCCATGTCAGTGAATTCAATCTATCTGTCTATCTATATAAATGTATTCAAATCCAGGAGTCCGTATACTAAAAACACACTGGGAAAAAAAACAAAACAAATCTAGGTAAGTTAAAAAATGACTTGAATTGAGAACATTTTGCTTTATCTGAGTAGATTCAACTTGACAAGTAAAATTATCTACCAGTGGAATAAGTGTGGTTTTCTTAATTTGATTTTGTTCCTTATTTTAAGTGCAGAAAGTTGTTGTTTTTTCTGTGTAGCAAGATGTTTTTTCACGTTTTCACAAGTACAAAAAGTCTTATTCCACTGGCAGATAATTTTACTTGTCAAGTGAAATTTACTCATCTAAAACTTTCTTAATTCAAGTCACTGGCTAGATTTTGTTCTTTGCAGTGCATGCATTTTTAGAGCATGAATTGGATCACCTCTCCACAGATCTGATATGTGACTTGGCCTGGTGGCATTAACTGCTTGTCTCCATGAATTTAGAATGAATTAATGCTATATTGTCGAACATTCAAGACAAAGCAATAACCATGGAGACAAGCTTGATAGTATGATAGTAAAAGCAGATAGTGAATCATTTCAGTCTGGTAAGGGTGTTTGAACTCTCCCAGGTATTTTTTTTAACAAACCTGAGAACAACATTAGATATATGATATGAATTGTCCTTTGAAATGTTAAGTTTTCTTTGTTATAAGCACGGACAGATGCACTTCTTAAAGGACATATTGATTCACAGATTTTTTACATTGACCACTGTCTTGCCTTTAAGACCCACTGGCCTTCAATGAAAAATACTATTGATCGGTGGTCGTCTGCCATTTGAAATCTATAAGCAAGTTCAGAGACAGTGAAAGAGTGAGACAGCAGTATTGATGACGAGACCAGATAAAATCAAGCTACATATTCGTCAGGACTATATATCATAAAACGGGGGCGTATGGTGTCACTGCTCCTGCCTATGGGTCAGGAAGCTCTGTGTACGATGCTACTGAAATATAATTCCTCTAGTGACGTTAACTTAAATCATTATGGTGTTAAAGGCGCTGTACCTGGTTTTTACAGTCTTAAAAACATTTTTAAAAAACAGCACTAGTTATTTGTAAATGGTTTGCAGTGGCAAGCATCGCATATTCATAGCATCTTTTAGTCACAATGATGAGTTTTTTTGTTTTGTTTTTTTAACTTTAAGAAGACCACTGAGATGTTTTGCCATCACAGTCATGCTAAGAACAACTCGCAACCTTCCTTGTTTTATAATTAGACGAAGACAGCACATCGTTTTGACTGTGGTGTTGGGTTGTTTAATTGTGGGAAGGTGCAGAATTACTATCATAAATACATTTTGTAGTTTTGATGGTAATGTTTGATGTTATATTGGATAATGGACCTTGTTGGACAAAGTAATGTTTTATGAGTCCTTTAGTAATTTGCCTGGGAATCCATAATACACTCTTTTTTCATTACTCTGTGTAGATGTGAGTCTGGTCGTTCAGATGGGCACAATTGACTGATTGATGTGATTGAATTACCCAATCAGTAATGGCTGCTTTCTAGGAAAAAAGAAAGGAAAAAAGTATCATAAGGGAGGGATTGGTGATCAGACTGCCTCTGTAAAAAATATGCAAGTCATTTGAAGCTGCAGCCAGTGCTATATATTTTTGTAGTTAGAAAAAATGTTAGAAAAAATGTTTGTTTAGTAAAAGGTTAGTCAGTTCGTTTAATTTACAATGTTGTCTCTCTCCAGGGCATATTCCAGATCACCTGAACTGACCCAGGGAGATGTGTAGCCCTGAAAGAGCTGGGGGAGAGAGAAGTCTCATGTATTAAACACTGTTGCCATAGCAGTTAATAATTTAAAACTAAACAGTGTCACTGTGGAAGTCCTCAAAATTTCACCTAACATGAACCCATCTTCCTGTTCTATACAACATTTTGAAAAGTTTTAACCATTCTGTAGATATCATATTTTGTTTTAAGTAGTTAATAGGCAGAGGTGGGATCAAGTCGTTGTTTTGAAAGTCTCAAGTAAGTGTTACGACTTTGACCTCAAGTCCGAGTCAAGTCCCAAGTCAAATACAGGCAAGTCCAGGCTGAGTCTCAAGTCACTGGCTCATAAGTCCAAGTCAAGTCCAAGTCGTCTGCTTTGAACTTCAAGTCATTTCAAGTCTTTAAACCAAAGTACCAAATATAGCTTGGATTTTTGCAGCTTATATTAATTTTAAGCTAAATTGTACTTAAAATGTCCTGGTATATTTATATATGATTATTTATAAGAGTTGTAGATATGTTATTTTTTCCTTTTTAAACGTCCTGACAAGACTCTGAAAGTCTGAATCATTGTGGTCAGAGCAGAAAGAATTCAGAATTAAAAGTGCTAAATAACAGTTATTTTGTTATGAAGGATCATGTTCTATGTAGTTCCCTTTGTATTGTACTGTATATTACTTTAGTACATTTGAGTATCACAGTACTTCAATTAAATCCAAAGTAACAAAAAGAAGTGGGAGGGATATTTTCCAGTTTGTTCCTGTAAAATTCAGCACCACATTTATCAATTGTAAAGAGAAAAGTATCAAGTCTTTTCAAGTCACAGGGCTCAAGTCCAAGTCAAGTCCCAAGTCCCTGATCTTAAAATCCAAGTCGAGTCCTAAGTCTGAGACCATTTTATCAAGTAAAGTCCCAAGTCCTAAAAATAGTGACTCAAGTCTGACTTGAGTCCAAGTCACGACTTGCAGTTTTCCACCTCTGATAATAGGTACAGCATCAGTCTTAATTTTTCATCCTTCTGTCCATTTCCACCTTTTCTGTTACTCTACTCTTCAAGACTTTCCCTTCAAGACTGTATTTTCCTTCTAATATTTCTCTCACAAACCCAGAGCCTTGAATGGGAGGTACAGATTGGTAACACTGTGTATGAGAAAACGTCAGCAGCTACAGTGATGGGTCAGAGGGCAGATCTACACTATTGGTGACACTAATGCTATGGTATTGTCCCATTTAATTGAGTTGTGTTGTCAAGGAAACCCATGCACACGGAATGTATTTCTGAAAACACCACAGAAAGATTACATTATGTAGAATAGAGGTTTGAATTTCACATGTTTTATGGAGATAAGAAGCAAATGTCCAAGATGGGCTGTTGTGAAATGTTATGTAAATTACTGAACTGCTGTTACATTTCAAGAACATGTTTGGTTTAGCTTTTAGTTTCCTCTGTGTCCTGCAGCATCACAATGGCATTCAAGTTGGAGCCAGGTGAACACAACAGGAAAGGTCTTGCTCTTGCTCTGCTCTGTTGTTTCAGCTGGTGATGAATTGTTTTTGGAAGGTCTTCTGCCACATTTAGCTCCACATATGATGCCTGTAGGATTGCAAATGTCTATAGCTAGATCCTTAAGTAGCCTCTTGCACAGTCCTCTGTATTTGCTCCGTCAATGCTACTTGGGGCAGCCTGTCGGGAGGAGTAAGCACCACAGTGCTGCGCTTCAGAATCTGTGTTTTCTTCATTATTTGTCTCCAAAACCAAAATGAAAAACCGGATTACAATTAGTTTTTTTCATTTTTAAACTTTGTATTTAAATAAATAATGGAAAAAACTGATAACAGCCATTTCCTGTTTCCGACTGCAATGCCAGACTGAACCAGTACTAAACCAGGTTCGGGACCTGACCAGGACCTGACCAGGACTGAGACCAGGACTTAGACCGGAACCAGGATTAGGACTGAGTCCAGGATTAGGAGTGAGACCGGGACTGACACCGGGACTGACACCGGGACCAGACCAGAAATGACACGAGGACTGAGACCGGGACTGAGACCAGGACTGAGACCAGGACTCAGACCGGGATCAGACTGGGACTCAGACCGGGACTGAGACTGGGATAAGATCAGGACTCCGTCCGGGACTGAGACTGGGACTGAGACTGGGACTGAGACCAGGACTGAGACCAGGACTGAGACTGCGACCAGACCAGGACTGAAAACGGTTTAGTCCTGGTTTAGTCCTGTTTCAGTCCTGGTTCAGTCAGTTTTGCGGTGCAAAAGTCCGGCATTGCGGTTTAAGTCAAGGAAACGAGAAACGGCTGTTATCCGTTTTTTCCATTATTAATTTAAACACGAAATCATAAACTGAAAATGGGAATCGTTATCTGTTTTTTAATTTTGGTTTTGGAGACAAATAATGAAGAAAATAGTTGTTTTTTCATTTTCTTATTTTTGGTTTTATATTGAAAAACAAATGAATGAATGACACACAGATTCTTGAGGACCCATCTACAGATCTTGAATTAGGTTTGGTCAGGACCACCATAGCTGAATGAATTTTATTACATTTCTATTTATTTATTGTTGGTTTGTTGGTTTGGATTGTTTTTTTAGAATACAATATTTATTTTATTGTATACATTTTTGACTAAATCTTCATGATCACTTTTCTAGAGTAAGAGACAGACATTTGCTCTCTTAATTGTCTGATAATTATTTATGGAGACTCTTAAAGAAGTTGCACGTGGCCTCTGCAAACGTGAGCTACTTCCTGCAGCACGAGTCACCTTGAACTAAGCTCACAACATTATTGAATCAGCTCAAGACGGCGCACAGGGAGAGAGGATAAGGATATGCACAGTGGGGCTGGCTGTCTGACTGTGCAGAAAATAGTAGAGAAACTTAACAATATAATGAAACTCAGAGAAAAATCCATTATGCTCATGATGTGGGGTTGATTTG